TAGAACGACCCAACTTTGTCATAGAATCAATCATCACTTACTATAAGCCTTATCGGGTCTCGCAGTATAATACATTGTAGCAATGGTACCGGCTAATCGCTTTGTACGAAAGCCTTATTTGTGAGAACTGATTGGTTACTTTTGTCGTTTTTTCATTGGCTGTAGGACTCCTTAAGCGAGCTGCATGATCTTGATTTCATTAAAACATTCGATTGCTAATCAATTCTCATTGCACACTTTACTTATGCTTTTCCTTAGATTCTTTTTTTTACACGCAGTAAACATTCGAGATTCCTGACAAGACTGAGAAAAGTCTTGGTTGTTGAAATACATTTTCGATTCGTTTTCTTTTCAAGGTGAGAAAACAGCATAAACATATTATGTATTCAGCATATTATCGAGTTTACAAACATGGATTAACTTTAAGGAATTATCATCTTAGCAGAAACTCCTTCAGCATAATTGCGGTTTGATAGTTTTATCCCTTCAATCTCACCACTAAGTAACCCGCTTTTATCTTGTTTAAGTATCAGCGAGTTTAAACATGTTTTATCTCGGCACTGTGAGGTATGCAATCTGAATGGCAGATGGATAAAATGAAATCTGATTTCACTCATTGCTTTAAAAAATCAAGCCTGGAGAATTCTTTGTAATAAATCTCTTGCTCACAGCTTGGGAAAGCATATTATTTTTAGCGTTCATAAGATTGGAAGCAGAGGGAGAGACTAATGGCCAATTTTTTTTTCAGATTTTCCGTCATCTCAATGTCATTGTTATGGCAAGTAAATTAATCTGGGATCGCTCAAATGACGCTTTATTTGGCTTATGGAAACAAGGTAGTGAAATACATGGAATATTCATATTTATTAATTAATTATTCATTTGAGGGTACGTGTAAGTGACGCTGTGAATCGGCAGGAGGCTATTCCCCAGTACGCACTGAGGCCAAGTTCGGAGCCGAAGATTTTCATGTATGAAATAGATGAATGACAGAATACTTGACGCCTTTCGCCCGGCGATGTCGGC